AACGTCTACGACCTTTGTGTCATCAACGTATGCAATATACATTGTATATCGCATTGTACAAGTCTTGGGCCTTGGGATTATAAATATTTCACCTTCTTCGTGTTCGATAATTTTTAAAGTTAAATTATACTTAATAACATGCACGTGTACGGTTAATCATATAAATATGAACTTTTACTGGGCTCAAGTCGAATTGTTCTGTCCAAGTCATTCAATATAGATAACTAGCTTAAAAATAGCTGAAATATTACTTTTAATATTATTCTTGGCCTTTTTTTTATTACATACCTATACGTTGCTTATTTGTCCACGGGAAATAAATGCATCGTTCTGAAACTTGCATTAAATTATTTGATTCCTGTGCTATATTGCTTTTTTCAGTATCGTTGTATTTATTCATTGTGTGACTTTGCATTAAATTTCCATTTCTTCTTTTACATTCTTTTCTTCTAAGATTGCTCTCTCTCTCTCTTTCTCTCTCTCTCTCTCTCTCTCTCTCTCCAATGCAAACGGACGTTCGATCATTCCCCTCAGTTCAGAGACAGATTGAACAACTGTTTTGTGGGGACCTTGACCTCATAACAGTGTGCTTATACAGAGGTTAGAGTGGATCAACATTCTGTGATCTTGTCAGAAAAGGTTATTAAATTCTTGATATACATGTAAACAGATGAAAGTCATTTATATGGATATTCAATTACACACTTGATAAATTTTGTAAATATACCGGGTACCTTGAATACTTATACGATGTTAATTCAAGGTTTGATCATGCAAATAAATAAACTTACTAAATAAACGTATAATTTATTATGCTAGTCATTTTGTTTATATTCATTCAATTTTTTTTCGATGGCAAGCGTCCGCGTGCTCTTTGGTGGTTGGCACACATGTACAATATCAGAAAAATCAAAGTCCTGAAATTGCACTATAGAATTCTTTAATTTAATGACATGTCTTTCTTAATATCTCATATAATGAATATGTTCTGAGTTTAATACCTTGTTTTTGTTATAGAATAGATACTATATAGTATTTCTACGAGAAAAACAGATAAATAAAAACAAGCTGTAAATGAATGCCTAAAAGTACATGTAACATCATAAAGCTGACGTCTTGATTGTAAGCGTGAACTATCAAAATTTTTCACGGTTTAATAAAACAAATGAATTTTTTTTTTTTTATTATTATTTATGTTTGATTGTTTGGCCTTCTTTAGATTTCTATAGAAATCGGGATTTCAGTACACAACTGATAAAAAAAAATCAATTTTTAAAGAGACATGGACACAGTTTCAACTGATTTTTTTAAAAACCAATTTTAATGTTTACAATTTTTAATCAAGAAAAATCAAATGATCAGTAAAAATTTGAACATCATTTGTTGATTTACAAAGAAGATGCAGAACTTAAAATTTTTCGTAATGTAAACAAGGCTCGTAACTTGTTTTTGTTTACATATAGATTATATCATATTTATAACAAAACAAGAATATAAAAAAAAGTCAAGAAACTGTCTCATGATATTAAGAATTAAGTTTTTTTCTGAAAAATTTGCTTTGAACGAACATATACATGTATTAGTATATTTAGCCTATGTAAACAAAAACATGACACGGGCCTTGTTTACAAAACAAAGGTTTGGAGCTCTAAATCTGTCTTGTATCTCGACAACTGAATTCAGACTTTTGATAATCATTAAAAATAATTAGGCCTGTTTACAAAAATAAAAAACGGAAAATTAAATCTTAAATTTTTTAGCTGATTAAACGTGTCCATGTCCCTTTAAAAAGAAATTTCTTTTACGTTCGCGGTAACAATTAATTTACGGGTGTCAACATTATATCAACATTGGATATAAGCAACAACAAAAAACAAAAAAAACCAGATGTCTTGATTCATTAGTAGATATTTTCTTGATTCAATGTGCGTGAGGCTCGATCATGCCATTTGCTTTTACCTTTTTCATCGCACGACTTAATTAATGATAAATACGCTGTACGACTTACTAAGTACCTGCCACTCCCAACAGCGACACCTATGGGAAAAGACCACTAATTATTTTCCCATAGAACTCCATACAAACCTTAGGCCCTCTCAGTACTTTACTATGACAATTTCAGAAAAATCTTTAGCATCATTTCAAACTTTGTTCTAAGCCCTAACAAAAAATACTGAAAAAAATATATGGTCCCATTGCGTTTATAGGTCAAAATTGCAGTTATTTTCAACTTATAGAGATTCGCAGTAAATAACACGCGGCAAAAAAAATCAACCCCCACTCCTAAAATCTTCCCTGGTATTTCTATAGTTTCTGTAATATTCCCTCATCCCATCATTTATTTCAAAGGTCATTAATTTTACTTTAAAATGAAAACAATTAAATACCTGATTTCAGCCAATGGCGTAACGCCATCCCATTCAGTATTCGGTTTAATGTTCCATCACAAACAAAGCCATGTGTTCATCCGGGCATTTGGTGCTCTCTTTCCTATACTCACATACTTACCTGTCTCAGAATTAGTCAATTGTGGTAATTTCAAAGACTACACACCTACCTGTGAACATGTATGAAATTTGAGTCCTGTGACTTCAGTGTATTGGATACTGTGACCATCTCAAATGATGACACCTTACTGCTACCACCACAGTTCAAAGCAGTGAATGACGTCTGGGCCGGTGATGATATTTGGATATATTGGTGACTGTAATAAATAAAATATTTGTACAATGAATTGTTTTTGTGTTTTAATGTTAATAAAGTGATATTAAGTCAAAATTGAGTCAATAATTTCATAAGGGTGGATTCTACCCAGAATTAGGTAAAAAGCTCCAAAATTGGATAAATCATAATTAATTAAGCAAAATTCAAAGCTTTTGAAAAGACTGATATAGAATTTTTTTATGCTTATGCAAAGTAAATTATTTAATACTCTGATTTACAAATTGATTCTTATCTAATCCCTCCTATTGCTTAAGTATGTACAAAAAAGTTTCCCCACCCCCCAGTGAAAAACACTTAAAGAAATAGCAGGTGCCCCCTTTTATTTTTGCTTACAATTAATTTAGACAAGTTTAAATCAATCCTTTTGATAACAAATCAAAGTTCAATGTCTGTAGTCTTATACATTACAATCAGAAGCTACTTTTTTAATTTTATGCTAAGAAAAGGAGAAGTTTTATAATTTTTTTTTCAAAATTAAAGAAAAGCAAAAACTGACTTCAACCCCCAAAATGTACTATACAGTAAGAGGCTGGAAGGTTAATAAATAAAAAATTTACCTGCAATGTACAGAAAACTGTCCGACAAAATACATCGGGTGGGTAGGGAGTCTCCATTTTCTTCTTATATAGAGAAAATGCCCCTGCTGATCAGAGACCGAACACTCCCGGGGCCAAGAAAGCTGAAAGACGAAATTCCTCTAAAGTGCTTAAATGAAAATAAATCAATAAAATTAGTCAAATTAAGCATAAATCATGAAAGAAACAACAATAGTTTTCAAGTTTTATAAAAATTTCCTTAATTACATGTCTTCTACATAGCTAAATGTACAAAAAATGGACCCGCCAAGGGTGGAAAACATGTTTTTTCAATATTACATAATATTACATGTAAATATAATAATAATCAAATGTCATACATGCAGTTCAAGGTCATTACAATATTTTATGAAAAAAAATCAGAAGCCAAAGGTCACAACTGTTAAGATATCATCATGTTGAAATTCTACCTGTCTGGTCAGCAGGTCTAAGGGAAGTAACTCTAAGTACAAAAACTAGAAACCATTAGAAAGTGAGTCGCAGCGAGTAATTCTGATGAATCTACAAAGAGCGAAAAAAGAGAAAACATAGACCTTTGTGTAGCTACAACATAGAAACAACAAAACTACAAACTGATCACCCTGCAGCCAAGAAAGGGGGGGGGGGGGGGCAATCCAGAGGAACACATACACTACCAAACATGAGATGACAAGACAGAAAATGTCCTCCTTTCACTTGTCCATCACAAAAAATTCCTTTTATGTGCCACCTTAATTATTTGAAAAAATGCCAAAAGTGCAAAAGTCTAAGAAACCAAAAAAAATTAACACCAGGTCACTGTCCTACACTTCCATAATATACACAGATAGAGCAAAACATAATAAATACACAGTCACATGTACATGCAAAATACATACTTAAATCTATGCATACATACAACCATTCATCTTAAGAACAATCTAATACATTTTCTTAACTTACCATCTTCCTTTGACCATGTCAACTGTACAGGACTTTACTAATTTCTATCTTCTCTTACCCCCCCCCCCCTCCTCTCTTTAATAGACCCAAATAACCACTAACCCCATTACCGCAGTAAACTAATTCAAATTTTTGCTAAATTTTCTCTCGAAATGTCATCAATCTTCAAATAATTAGCAAAAAATAACATTTCATGACTTTCAAATCACTTTAAAGTGTAAAAATTGGGGTCTCTATAGGGAAAAGACCACTAATTATTTTCCCATAGAACTCCATACAAACCTTAGGCCCTCTCAGTACTTTACTATGACAATTTCAGAAAAATCTTTAGCATCATTTCAAACTTTGTTCTAAGCCCTAACAAAAAATACTGAAAAAAATATATGGTCCCATTGCGTTTATAGGTCAAAATTGCAGTTATTTTCAACTTATAGAGATTCGCAGTAAATAACACGCGGCAAAAAAAATCAACCCCCACTCCTAAAATCTTCCCTGGTATTTCTATAGTTTCTGTAATATTCCCTCATCCCATCATTTATTTCAAAGGTCATTAATTTTACTTTAAAATGAAAACAATTAAATACCTGATTTCAGCCAATGGCGTAACGCCATCCCATTCAGTATTCGGTTTAATGTTCCATCACAAACAAAGCCATGTGTTCATCCGGGCATTTGGTGCTCTCTTTCCCTATGAGTCATTTTTTCGAAATGAAAGAAGAAAAGAAATAGTTTAAACAGATTATTTTTCGCTGCTTTACTCGAGGATTAAAAAAAATGGGTAATTTAAATAGCTGTTACATTAGTATTCTTATTTTTAGACATTTTATACATTAGCTGGTTAGGAAAACGGTGAATTAATTTATTATCAGTTATCTACTTGTATTTGAATTATGGTTAGAACCAATGAACTCCGAGTGGGTTAGAACGGCACCTAGTGAAAATGGCACCTGGTGAAAACGGCACCTGGAATATGCAAAACGGCACTTGGTTAAAACGGCACTTAGTGAAAACGGCACTTGGTTAAAACGGCACTTAGAGAAAAAAGTATATAATAGTGTTATGATATATATTTCACATAAGTTCTTTTTAAGTCAAAATTTAATTTATTGACTTTAGAATTTTTTGTGGCTTCAATTTTGCTTTATTTTCAATCTATTTTTAAAGGTAGTATTTTTAAGCTATAACACAACAATATGTGGGATTTAGAATAATTATATTTGTAGTATAGTATTGATAATATGAAAAAAGAAATGGTGTAAATGATTTAAAAAAAAAAAATTTACAGTAAGAGTCACTTTATCTCACATTTCTATCTAATTCTGTAGAAATTATTTTAACAATATCAACATTGTATATCTTCATTATAAAAAAACAAATGGTTTGTTCTTGTATGTACATGTTTATTATATTCTTAAATGTTGTATGGCTACTCATATTTTATGTACAGTTGCGAGAGGATTATCTAAGTTTTTCTAACTTGTGTACAATCCATTTGACATTTTGAAATACACAATAGTAGCTGTATATGATTGCAAATTGACGATCAACAGATTATTGAAGGGGAGGTGTGAAATGGTCTTTTGTTTCCTAAACCTACAAGTGTATTCTTAGTAAACATACTCTAACTGGCTTCTAATTAGTCAACTGTGACTGGCAACCCCCAAAACAGAGTAGTATACATATTTGAAACACTATAAATTTTTTAATTTCAAAGGATCATAATAATATAATTGGGATTTGATCTCTTTTGTAGTAAATAAATATATATGATTTAAAATATAAATACATTTTAAAAATCTAACCCCTGTACAAAAGTATAATAATTTTCAAATGAATCAGTTTAATTTTTTTCCTAAAATATTTTTTAAACTTTTTATCAATAATTATATACACATTTCTTACTATAAATGTAACATAAAGATCCATTTTCTGCATAAACAATATCAAATTCTCAAAATAAAAAAAGTACCGTTCTGACTTTTCTAAAGTGCCGTTTTGACTACTCTCAAGTGCCGTTTTGCATATTTCCTAAGTGCCGTTTTCACCAGGTGCCGTTTTGACTTGTACCCCTTGTATTTTACTCTGTTGCAGATCCAAAACAATCTCTAACTTTAGCCATTGATCATGTTGATTAAGCTTAAATTAGATGTATTCAAGTATTGTATACAGTTTATTAAGCTATTCAGAAAAGGTTGATAAAATTATTTTTACAGTTTTCACCAAAATTTATTTTTGTTAGACGGTCAGAAGCATTTTATACGGTAGTTAGAATAATCTAACTGTGTCTCGGTACAGGCCCTCACCACAGTTAGAATACGTTCCATATACTTGCAATGTAGCAAATCGGAGCGGATCCGCTCCGAAACTATTTTGAAGAATATAAAATGATTTGCACTGGGAATAACTACCAAGATAATCAAAACAAACCTTCTTGAGATTTCTTATGCCTTTTATCCCAAAAAGTAATCCATATAAATACGAAAATCCAATTAATTTTCTCAACGTTTTTCTCTCGATTCAAATTACCTGCCATGTTTACATTCGGAACTCTCTAGATTGTTCCTAGTAAATGCACTATGCGACTTATCGCCCGTGTTTCTTTCTGCAACATTACGAATACACGGAACGAATTCTATCGTTAAACCGGGTCCGTAGGACAATATCATTTTAACGATGGAACATTCTATATATTTATATGGGTGCGTCGATTTACCCAAATGGACCCAAATCATGAAATGGAAACTCAAATGGACCCAAATGGAAATCAAATGGACCCAAATGGAATATAAAATATATATATTATATCGTATTCTCAAGTTTTTACTTATTTAAAACATAGAAAATAATGAAATTAAAACAAAAAGAGAATATTTTAATATCATTATTTTCTTCAATTGTATTTTTAAAAATGTGATTTAATTTAATTCTATTTGTAATAACCATTGAACATAATTGAATACAAAACTGAAGTATTTAATAGTTTCTATGGCCGTAGTAACGGATGGGGGGAGGGGGCCATGCCCCCCACCCCACCCCTACCCCCAAATAATTTTGCCAGTATATAGAATACTAACAAAACTTCATGTTTCAAAATACAATATTAGAGATTAATAATTTAAAAAAAAATCATTTGTAAATGTAAGTTCATTTATTTTCATCATTTTAAATGAGTATTGAAATACAATAATACATATTTAATATTCCATTTGGGTCCATTTGTGTTTCCATTTGGGTCCATTTGGGTTCCATCTGGGTCCATTTGGGTAAATCGACGCGCAGTTTTATACACTCATATGCAGGGTACCACATGTGCACTAGTCTTGAAATGTATGACTTTTTCCAGGCCTGTTTAACAATTTTGATAAATTTAACATGCCAGGAAAAAAGTCCGAACCCACGCCATTACGAAATCTGGTTATTTTCCACCTCCAAGCTGAGGCAGCATTTTCAGGTTGATTTTCGATACTAAATTACTTGCAAACCGATCAAATGTCAAACTCACAATTTCGAAATAGTACAATACTTTTAGTATGAGAGTTCACCAACATTGTTTCCATGGTTTGCTTATAAATTTACAATCCATTGAAAACATTTTTACAGACTTTTGAGATTTGTTTTCATTTCATGCATTTTAAAATCTTTGCAAATCAGGTTTTGAAATGTGGAGTGATATTTTCTTTTAACCAATATTGGTAAGTACTAGAAGCATTGTGCTATTGATAAATAGTGAGTTTGACATTTAGTTTGGTTCACAAGTATTAAAAATGAACTTGAGCTGGAGGCTGCAAAATTTTCAGTTTTGAAACAGCACCTGTTCTAACATTTTCCTGGTACATCAAATATCTTAATACATGTATATAGAATATGTATATAAAAGATATTTTTGACTAACAGGTACACTTACTACACTAGCCTAAAAAAGTAATTTTTTTTAATTATTTAAACTTACTTTTATGCCATAATATGCCTGAAGGTGCCTTGACTGTTTAATTTTTCAATTTAAGGTACACTTGATAAGTTGGGGAACTGGCCCTTTGCATCTCTGATGGCCACCATTATTGTCTTTGTGGGAGTGGGGGTGTTTTGTGGCACCCTGTACCGAGCATTACAGATCATCATTATCAATGTTATGGAGGGGTTGTTCCAGTTTACAGTGACTTGGTATGTGGCATGTAAAGTAACGCATCACTTACTCAAGGAATTTAAAGATCCTGCATGTTTTGAGTGAATTCATAGGTTCAAAGTCCTGATGTAATCAGATTTATTGTTGACATATAAAACAAATACTCTTTATATGTCTGTGTTAACATTTTTTACCCTCTAAAGCATGATACATTTTTAATGTACTAAAGTACCTGTGTTTTCTTTAATGAGCAATGAAGTGAAATTTGTACATGTAATTGATGAAAAAGAGTACTTTTCTTATTTAAATATTTTACTTCTAATAGAGTAGTTTCCTGCAGATTATTTTTTCAAATCAAAAATCTTATCGCTAAAATCTTATTGCTTTAAAATCTAGTAGAGGAGGCTTTTGTACTTAAAAAAACATTAGGTCTTGAAGGAAAATGAATGAGATAATTTTTGTTTTATACATGTTTTGACATTTGAATTTCATTGCTGAATTTTCTAGGCTGTCTGTGGTTCAGATTGTGTTCATCGTGATTGCCATAGTGATGGCGCTGTTCTCCATTGTCCTGTTGGTTTTCGGTTTCCTTGCAACAGGAGCAACCAGACAAAATGTATACTCGGGGAAGAGATGCATTATGGGAGGACAAGTGTCTGCTGGTTTTGTAAGTTAATTTTATTAATCATAATTTTATTCTTATCATACTTTAGAAAACTCATTAAATATGACTTTTACCAGTTGCTTCTTGTACTAGGGTATAATGTATTATGAAAATATTTCCTTTCAGTTTATGATGATGTCATTTCTCTTTAGTTTGTGATGATGTCATTTCTTTTCAGTTTATGATGATGTCATTCCTGCTGAGTTTAGTCTGGCTGGTGATTGTGGGTGTGGCCACCATTCCTGTGTTTCTGTACATCATGCTGGGGTCCATCTGTAACCAGGAAGTTTACCACAACAATTATCAAACTGTGGCTTACTGCTTCAGACTCAAACATTATGGTCAGTTCTTAATGTCAGACTCAAACATTATGGTCAGCTCATGATTTTTTTACTTCCTTCTTCAAACTCAAATGTTATGGTCAGTTGACTCAGTTGTCAATGTCTTCCGTAGCCTTTCATACAAACCAAGGTTATTAGCAATAGAGAAAGAGTACACAAAATATACCTGTACATCCTTGATTTAACCTGAATAACTAAATAAACCTATATGTAAACCACATATTATGATTGATTAAAAAATTGGTTTTTAAATGTAACAATTTTATTTTTTCCATCCAGGTATCTACAGGAATTCCACATACCCATTTCTGGGTGTTGCTGCTCCAGGGAGGGATGAAATCTGTAACCCTGTTGAGCTAAGGGTCCTATGTGATAGGGTAAATATAACTGTACTGAGATATATGAAATTAACCACACATATTTTAAATACCAAATGACTGCCTAATAGACATTTAGTTATTTGTGTTTTACAATGCAAAAATCATAAAGATTTGCACAATTGTTTTGTAATTTTATCAGTTGATAAGTAATGAAAAAGATGAGGTTTCCAGTTTGTTTAGCAATTTGAAAATATTAATTAAAATTATGAATACAGTTTATTTAATTTTTGAAATTTTAAGAGTTTCTGGAAAATGTCGCCTTTTTACTTTTGTCAATAATCGCAGACTTTTGAGATCTCCTGATTCCCCAATGTAATTTACATAGTAGATAATTTCCTAATTGTAAAAAAAAGAGAGAGAAAAAAATTCCTTACTGTAAAACAGAATTCACTGTCTAACATTTATTGTTTCATTTCAGTTTGCTGAGGCAGGTCCTCTGTTCTGTGTAGCCCTAGCTGGGGCAGCGTGTATCGTCATTGGTATGGTAGGTACTCAGAATATTTTTCCATGTACTTGTATAATGTTTTCCAACATCTAAAGGTGGATTTAAACCAATCTTGTAGAAGTGGTAAATCTGTTGAAGTGAAATGAGATTCATACTTTGACTATTTCTTGTTGGAAAAAGTCAGTTTCTTAAGGACAAAAGAGGTATTTCAAGTGAAAAACCAGTGGTTCTCTAATCTTTTTATCTGTTTCTTTATTTCATAGCTTTTATTCATGTCCACCCTATCAGCTAACTACACCAGAATCAAAATCTCCAAGGAGCTGACGGATTACCGCAATGCTGTGGACATGGAGGAGATAGACCTACACAGCAACATGAAGGGGATAATGGATCAGTCGTACGACAAAAGCAGCTACCGGTGATCTGATTCACTGAAACGTTTGGAAGATTAAGCATATCCTGTACAACATGAGAAAATCCATATTTTTGAAATCTTTGTCCATTCCTACAGATTAGATTACCTGGTACCTTTATGAAGGACTGGATGTATCTTGTCTTAGCAATTGTATTAAAATTACATGTATTAACACTTCAATGTTGTGATGAGCATTCAAAACTTTTGTGCATATAAAGTTACTTGTGACTATCATTGTGTTATTTCAGAATGAGTCTTTTTATCTGCAAACTTATCTTTTGTATATTGCGTGGTTGTGAAAGGGTGTTTTTTTTTATACATGTATTTTTTTGTTTGTAATGAACACAAAAAATGTGATATGTGTTACCCAAGGGTTATGTGCAGTAAACTTTTGAAAATATATTGTACAAAATATCAGTTATCCCTTAAAAAAATATTTTATGCATAAACATTCCAGATTTTACGACATATCAGCATATTTTCCACTAATAAGAAAAGTTTATTGTTTTTTTTTTTGTTTTTTTTTTCTTTATATATAAGACTTGCCCTATTCTGATTGATCTTCATTTTGTTCACATATTAGAAGGGAAATAACTCCCATTGCACATTTGAGTGTTTATCTGCGGTTACTTGTGTATACCTTCATTTTTTATCGTTTTTATACATATCTTATCATATTGAAATCATTTTTATATTTTTTGCCATATTTTCAGAGATGAGATACATATCTTTAATCTAACCTGACCATAACTTTTTTTATGAACATGTTCTTTGTGTGTTTAAGTGCATGTGTATATTTTGAAATATATATGTCTACTAAATTTTTTTTTTAATATATATATTTTGAATATAAAGGTTGCTTTGTAGACAGTTTATATTCTGCCTAAAGGCATTGCAATTTTATGCCATATAAAAATACCTTTGCAAAAATTCAGTTATCAAGTTCCCTTCACTCCCCAGAAAATCATTAATGATTTATAAATTGATATTTGATATTAGGAAACATCTGTCTGTAATATTTTAATATAAAGTAATTTCTTTGTATTTTTTGCTGTGCAAAAACCAATGAGAAAAAATGTAATTTAGTGTTAAGTGTGGAAATACTGATTTTACGTATTTCAAATTTATCAAAATGCCTCTGTCTTTTATGATTTGACTTGTGTATATTTTGAATCAAATTCGCATCGTATGTATACTAGATGCAAGTGCATTATGTATCTAATAAAAAATCTAAAGTAAATGTCTTTTTCATCTTTAACCTTAAATTAAAACAAAAAAAAAACATTAAACTTTATCCTGAGTTTTCATGGTGTAATTTCTTATTAGCAGCATTCACTTAAATACTTTTTATTTAACAGATTGTCCTGAAAGCATTTTTGATTGTTTTCAAGAATTAATTATATAGTCAATTAACTATATAATGGACAAAAAAAGTCATTTTAATATGCCATGTTTACCACTTTATCCCATGGTTTTAGCGTGATAAAGTATGGAGTCCTATATATAACAGTGTAAAGCACTGATTGTGAAGTATTAAATATGGAATAAAAGGAATCTCCCATGATTTGTAGTTGGATATGACATTTATCCAACAAGTTGTGTGTTTTTCTCCCCTTGCCAAGGCTTGAGGATAAAAAAAAAAGAAACCTCACACAACTCGTTGGATAAGAACCATATCTGACTAGTCTTCAAATCATGAGAGATCCTATTTTTTTTAACTCATTTGTGAACAATGTGTAAATTAGACTAAAGAAAGGCATTGCAACACTGGCATACTATATGGATAATTTTAAAAAATAATTTGATACGTAATTCATGTAAGTTAAAAGTACATGTTGATGCATGAAACCTTTAGAAATAAAAGTTTGAGGTAACGGACAGTATGAAGCTCATAAGTCCATACAAGTTATAAGAATCATAAGCAGAGCAAACACTGACCTGTAAGAATATCAAAAGTGTGATCAGGTGCCATGGAGGAGTAAGCACCCCCTGCCGACCGGCCACACCCGCCTGTGCCACTTGTCAAGATCGGTCAATTAATATTTAGATGGCAGTGACATATTTTCTTGCTGAATTAATATTTGTTAAATCAAACAATAGAATGGATGGGGTTATTCTCCAATCGAGTTATATTCTTGACCTGTTCAACTAAGCCTACGTATTCTAGAGAAACAAAGGCAGTTGAGGTGGACCCAAAGTGGTCATACTCAGGTTAAATAAAAAAAAATCAGGTGACAATCAAGGCCTAAAGTCCTCCGGTTAGATTTCCATATACTCTTATTTTGGCGCTTGTATAATTGGTTTGGATGCAACTTTTGGCTGCATGTGCTCTGGCTTTAAGGAAGCTCTAAATACTGCTCACATCCTATGGGTAGTTTTACGCAGTTAGGTTGCTTCTAATCATTAATTGAATTTAAACCGAGTACAGTACTCAAAATATCATTTGCATGTGAAAACAACATTGAGTTCTGTAAAGCTTAATAGATGCCATATGTGAAAAAGAAAAACGAACTACATCTGTACATGTAAATATACTCAATATGAAAAAAAGTCCCAAAAATCTGTCATTAGTATTTAGAGCTTTGCATAGAAAAACAATTTTTTTTAAATCAAAGAAAAACAACATGAATGAAGGAAATCTTTAATTTAACGAAGTTAATAGCCATTCTCTGTAACCACTTAAACTTCGTTGCCACGCATGGTCACCGATTTTGATGAAACTTCACCCATTCTTAGTACTTGACACCAGAAACATATATCAAACAAAATTTCGTTGCTATGTGTCTCGGTTGCCATGGCAACAGCCGGAAATGTTTGAAAAATCGAGATTTTCAGCCACTTTAAATCTTGACTGTGGCTTAATAAAAACTAGAAAAAGCAAACAAACCATTCTCACAAAAACATGACACCTTGATGTCACATACTGTAAAGAAACTGTTTAGAATATATATCTAAGTAAGTGGTAACCAAGGGTACATTTGGAAAACATTTAAAATGCTGAAATATGCTGAAAAACACTCCGTATTCACTAATGGTAGGTGTTACATGCTCAAACTCAATCAACGACTTTAGAAAAACAATGAAAATGTTTTACATTAAGTATACAAGTATAAGCAATATCATTCTATAAATAACTTTTATGGTTGCCATGGTAACACAGTGTAACCATGCAAAACCAGTAACTAAGATTGGGTTAATGCTACTGTCTTGAGGAAAAACATGAAAATTCAAGACTGGCAAATGGGCATCCTTAGGACCTTGCAACACCAAAAACCATAAGAAAAATTGGTTATAATTGCTACTTTGCAGTGTTACCATGGAAACAAAGTACCAGTGCTTAAACGTGAATTATTTTTCGCTGCATTAACAATTAAATTGCCATTTAATCAAGAAACAAATTAAAGGACTCAGCTTGAATAGTACTTATCTGTTAGAATTGAAGTTGAATATCATATATTGATAAAATTTGATGAATAAAACAACACTGTTGCTATGGTTACCAAGAAGGTAAAATGTTGGATTTTGTGAACTTCATATCAATATTTAACCCTGTGTGCCAACTTCTTGCATCCACTTACAGATTGGATGATAGTCAAAATTAAAAGTCAAGTTAACTGTTAATAAATATCAGTCATAAAAGTTTTGGGAATCTACATTTAAGGGTACGTATCCAAGGAAAGAAAATATCTTTCAGGTTTTTAAGCATATATTTTCTGCTTATTTCCATAGCAACGATCTATTTAAAGAATCTAATCTGAATTTTTTCAAATGGGAAAACTTGGAGCACACCAACATCTTATAAAATTGATCATTAGTTATGAGGAAATGTGCTTTTTTTAAAAGATAGGATCAGGTTTAAACATACAGAGTGTTACTTTGAAGGCTCTCTGTGGTATAAAAACCTTGGCAACCATTGCCAACCAAAATGAAATATCATATTTTGTTCTTGGTATATGTTTCAAGGCTCTTTTTTCTATTATTTGGTCACATTTTATCCTATTATTGCTTTTTATTTTTACGTGTATGACTTTATAAAATTCAACGAATATTTTTTTTTTACTTTTGAATACATTGTTACCATAGTATCGTATGTAATAGTTGATTTACCAAACATGTTCATCATGCATTTGAGACATCTGACCCTCAACTTTTGGAAATAGTCATTGTCAATTGTTTGCTTTGCCACAAATGTTAACTATGGGGCTATAAACATGTTAAAAAATGCCATTTTTCGAACTTTAAGACATGTTGCCATGGTAACTATAAAACATAGCAACCAATTTTAGCCTGATTTCAGTTTAGGGTATCAATGACTTTTATCATAGAGAGTTTGGAGAAATTCTGAGACTATGCGTGCCACAGCTCCTATATAAAATTTCAAGTCATTACAGAGAATGGCTCTTAAGGATGTACAACACACCTACCCCAAAAAATTCCTGTCGTTTAATTTTCGTTATTTTTGTATATTTAGTACATGACTATATCTACTGTATGTATGCACATTTTGGACAAAATCGTTCGAGTGGTTTTTGGACAGGAACTTCCAAAAGTTACCCCCCTTTAGTTGTTTACGAGGAGAAAAAATTTTAAATTTTTAATCAATGAACTACTTAAACCTTGATTTTCAAAAAAAGCCAGGTTAGATATCAATATCAAATTTCATTGGCTTATTCCTTTAACCATTTAACACAAAAACATAGTCATCTTTTTGATATACATATCATCAAAATAATTTTTAAAGACCTTAAACTGAAAAACTATGAATTATCTAAGCCTTGAAAATTGCGTATTTTTCAAATTCAAAATTTTTTTGTGAAAAAACCTGTCGTTTAATTTTGGTAAAAAACTTTCTTTAGGTAGCTGGTGGTAAAAATAATCTTCATAATTTTTTGTATAATTTTTGAACGATCAGTTTTGATTTAATAGCGGAAAATTACCCCCTCCCCCTTTCTCAATAAATCACGTTCCTGCGCGTCTTTCAGACGGGGGCCGATCACTTTGTTATATGAATTACATTTAAAAAAATGAATTGGAATATTGCCTTTGCTTCAAAAATATATTAACTTACAAATTTAAAAGTTCTCATATGTAAAACATATTTAAATGTAGATTTTTAGGCAATTTTTGAATACCCCTATCACCCCCACCCCTTCCTTTTTTGCGTCGCAGACCATTAGCGTTTGACGAAACGTCGTTTACAGTGCAAATATACTGGTATTTCGTCATTTGAATCCCGGAGGTATGCATTAGTTCTTAAATTCATGAATGCAGAATAAATATTGACTACTCTTTTTATATGTATCAGGAAAAAAATACTGAGGGATTTTAGTGTTTAGTCCATATACATGTATGTATGCGTTATGCATTCCATATCACATGAAACCTGGATACGAATTCAAGTTTTGTTGAACTTCAATATGTCGATTTTTAATTTTATATCTTTAATTTTATTCATTAAAAAAATGGTATATGTTCAAATCTCCTGTGATATAAATGGAATAATTGTAGTTTCTTTCCGACATTTGCATAGATGTACACCACTCATGATATTGTACGCATTTCTTTCAATGTCGTCGCTTCTAAAGTTAGTATGAAAATTCCGTATTCGTCCACATTAACTTCAAAATATCAAACATTAAACTCTTCATCTATTTCAATTTATATCAAATCGCACTTTGATATTTTTTTTTAAATCTTATAGGCTACGTTTTGTTTTGATTCGAGGAAATGCGAACCGACATTGTTGACAGAAAGTCAAGCGATTTGCTGCAATAGGATATTCATCAATGCAGATAATTTCAGTACAAGTGAACAATTCTTTTCAATTCTATACTTACATTGTGTATATGAGGTCTATAGTATTCAATTCTCGGATTTATCAGGTCTTGCTGTAAATGTATCTGGTTCTGTGGAAAACCGTGAATAAAGGGAGGAAAATAAACATCTCCTACATTTCAGAGTTGTTCCTCTTTGATCTGTAAGGGTCTACATCGATTTTACATTGTAAAAAGTTTTTTTTTGTTTATTTATTGTTATTTCATTTAATTAAAGAAAAAATAAAAATATTTATATCGTAAATGCACAAATTGTAATGAAGACCATTAATCGGAATGTTATATAGCCAATTGTACATAATGAGAATTTCGGCAATGTAAAATAAAATTTTCAGAATATAAAAAAATGCTGCGCTTTGATCAAAAATACAATTTATTGTATATGAAATGAAATGAAATAAACATTAAGGGATGGTATTTTATGTATGTATTTTATTGCTTTTTACGGAGTTTAATCGGGTTAATTAAAAAATACTTATCGATTGAGTATGGTACGCGCAGTCAAAGCCAAGCCCCATATCCCAATTTTCTTTCATGATTGATATACATCGGGATCGTTTTACTCGTCGTTTTGACGCTTTATTTTTGACGTTAAATTTGACGTCACGTCAAACGTTCAATTGAAATCGCAAGAGTTATCTCCCCCAGTGTGTTGTACGTCTTTAATGCGTTATATGATAACAAGTAACAGCTTTTTAAAAAGCTTTCCTGACTAAATCAATCAATTTATCTGCATGAAGAGTGATAAACCTTTTGAGCATAAATACCTTTGTGGGTTTAAAACATATCCCAACTTTATATTTTGAGAAGTTGTAATTGAAATCTTGATTTTATTAGCTCTACTGGTCAGAGACCAGAAGAGCTTATGCGATAGTAATGCGTCCAGCGTCCGTCCAGCTGTCCGTCCGTCTGTCTGTCTGTAAACAATTTTTCAAAATGCTACTCCTCCTACAGTTTTGGTCTGATTTCAATATAACTTGGCACACAAGTAGACTACACTAAGATACATTATTCTGTGTACCAGTTTTTGATTTCAATGATGTTGCCATGGTTACTAAACATAGAACTTTCTGTGAAATACTTTCAAAATACTACGCCTCCTACAGTTTTGTTCTGATTTCAATATAATTTTCCACAGAAGTAGACTACACTAAGAAACATTATTCTATATATCATTTTTTGATTTTGATGAACAATATTGCCTTGGTTACTAAAGATAGAAATTTCTGTAAAATACCATCAAAATATTATCCTAAATACAGTTTTAGTCTGATTATAATACAGTGTGGCATGCAAGTAGACTGCGCTAAGAACATAAAGAGACTTAATCAAGGATCATTATTCTTAGACTATTTATTGCTGTTGTAAAGTTTCAATTCCCAGCTTCTAATTTTCTCTTCCTTTGCTAAGTAAAATCCAGTAGAGCTTCAGTCTCGACAGAGACTTCTGGTTTAACTTGTAGAAGAATCATCTCTACACTGCATACTAAAGAGTGTTATTCTGGCGGGGGGGGGGGGGGGGTTCTGCTAGTGGAGTGACCTGCCCTTGGATCTAAATTGATTTCAAGCTACATTGTAACACCTATTATAAAATCTGTTGTCAAATCATGCATTGTAAACATTTTAAAAGATGGATATAATTAAATACACATTTTGCTAGAGTGTATTTTCTCCTCTGAAGTAAACATTAGTAACGTGTGTTCATTATTTTTTTTTTTAAAAGGGGGGGGGGGGTAGTGACACTATCTTATATTAAGAATGAAATAAGTAAATTCAATATTTGGGCCTTTGTGAAAAGAAAAATACAAGATTTTTCACTGCTTTCTTATTTATTGTGTGCATCTGAACAGAGCCATATAATAGATCAGGCATCTGCATGGAGACGATGATTTGAACTGCGTTGTTTATTTTTATTGGACCAGTCCATTTATGCAATAAACCAACCGCGGGATCGAGAAACAAATTAGAAAAAATCATTTCTTTATTGTTGCATGTCAAAAAAACTGATGTGTACATACGATATGTTGTTTTAAAGAAAGATGTAAAACTTGTAGATAGAATTTCTGAAGCATAAGAAGGAGTTTTCATGGAAGTTAGCACACCCATTCATACAATAGAACAATCCAAGGAAAAGGGGCGGATAGCTTACTAGTGACATTTGGCGCGAAAAGATCAATTCACCCCTTTCATAGAATATAAATGGACTGATCCAGTAGTATAGAAAGGCAGAAAAAAGGATACACGGAAATGTTGAAACAGCGAATTACATGGAATAATCTGTTCCATGCAAAAAGAGTAAAGGAAGTAAACACTGCAGTATTTTGCATCAGTAATATCATTTCTTTTTTCTGAAAAATGTTTCTTTTAAAATGCAGGTAAAGAATTCCATTGTAAATCAGCTTGCACAAATTCTAGCTCTCTAGATATGATCGCACACTTTCGGATCTTGGAAATATCAATCCTTATACAGCCTGACGCCGTGACGTCAGGCAATAATGATATACTATTATGATATTTTAGATACATGAACATTTATTATATATTATTTCAAAGAAATGCATAGTTGGAAACAAACACAATGATGATGTAAGACATGATTATTTTAATGGTAATGAAAGCATATGAAATAAATAAATACATTTGCATCGAATATTGTTTCAATCTTAAACATGTAAACTTCCAGTCAAGGCAAAGCAATTGATCTTACGGCATAGTATTTTTGCCTTATTTAAAAGTAATTAATCACTCTTCACTATAGTCATTTTGTAGTTTTATTTAGTTTAATACACGACAAAGTAAATGAGCATTAAACAACAAAACATGTTTTTAAGACATTAGGATAGAATGAACATGAAATAGGAAATTGAAATTTGAAAATGAACTTAAAAGCTTCAAAGTGTACCGGTGTTAGACAAATCAGCACATCCTTCTATCTAATTTTTTTTTGTCACTGAATGAATAGTTTTGTTTACTGTAGATGAAACAACTCTTCTAAATCCAATTCTAATACGAATAGACAAGAGTTCTATATTTTGGATTACAGCTTGTTGCAACAAGTGATTGGTGATATCATTCAACTATACCTCCAGTTTTCCATTTTCAATCGCCAAATTGTTCCTTAACTTGATATTGTTTGCTTTTTCTTGAATTTCAGCCAGAAAACTCTTCGACCAATTTTTGTCGATTGTAGTGTACGGACTGTCGAAGTTCGTCAGCTTCATTCCAGGTGGACTAATTGTGCCGAGTTTTCGTTCTGTTAATACCATGTCATCATTGAAATGAACATGGTTCTCTCTGTCACGTCTCTTCAATGGTTTGCTGTAAAGGTCTTCAATAGACTGTTCTTTACTCTGTTCAAATTGTCTCTGATGAAGGCCGTGTTTGGAATAAATGTCGTCTGCTGTCTGATAATGCGTGTGAAGCGCGCGTAAATTGTTGATATTTTTCCAAGAAGGGATGCCATCGCTAAAAGAGCGAGTGAAAAATTCCGTCGGATGGTCGTATCCATAATTATCCCAGTTCGACTCCATCTGTGAAAATCTGTTGGTGGTAGGGGTTAATTTGTGGGAGAGGGACACATCCGTCAAAGACGTATCCGTCTACAAAAAAAGATTTTACAGGTAATTTTACCATTCCACCAGTTTCCAAACAGCAGTTGAAATTGAATTACTTTTAGCATACGTCTTTACTACTTCAATATACTTTCCCGAAAAAAAAATTATAGGTTTTCTTTTCACAACAGCTTAGAACATACTAGCAAAATCTAAAGGCAGAAGAGAACCTACCGAAGACGACTTTCTGTTGTCTATCAGCCTGTCCCTTTTGTTGGATTTACCAAGAGTTGCTGACAAACTAGACCTGCTCTTTCGCTGTGATCTGCGTTCAAAAGCAGTCTTCACCTAGTTTTTCAATATGATTACAGGTGAGACAAAATTGAGAGATTTTTTTTTGAAAACGTGAATTAAGAGACATAAATCGTGAACAGTTTTTAAACTAAGTATTGTCAGTAAGAATTACTTACATCAGTACTCATCAAGCAATGGAACAAGAAAAAGAAAACACCCTAAAAGAAAATAAATATTTCAAATACTGAGTAGTCAGAAAGGAATTCACGTACAAGTTGGGCATATATAGAATGCAAAGAAACACTAAGAGAAAGATTTTTAAAAAAAGACCAAAACACGTTTATACCTGAAGAGAGTTTAGGAATGTGAAAAGATAAGTAAAGACAAGTGTGTCCTTGGAGTCAATTGAGAAAAATCCCAAAGTCCAAGTCAGCCCGAGAATAGGAAGTAAGACGGCAGCTGCCTTTAGACCAGTTCTGGAAAAAAGAGAAAGATGCTAGTTTTCTAACCTTGCAGTGAAATAATCCAAGTAAATAAACCAAATAAGTTGAAATAAGAAATTATGTGCCTTTAAGTCCTTAACAAACAAAAAAGATGTCCTTCTTGTTAGTGTTTTTTTTTTCTGTATATCACCATTTTTACGACAATTGGGTATTGATCACAATATTTACCTTACGCTAGATCGTTCGTCTGTTCCTATTTTTGCAGACACCGAAATCGAACGCATCATAGTCCTCAACACAACGAATAAAACGATTGTATTCAACTTATGAAGAGAAAAAGAATGATTATGATTTTAAGAAACCCAATACTTTCGACATAAACGTTGGGAAATATATTCCAAAAATTATCTTCAGTGAATTAAAAATTTTTTTTACCAAAATTAAAAGTCCCACAGCAGGCACAAACGCCACAAGCAAGACTTTACGAGTTAACCAGCATCTGCAGATAAAAAAAGGATTCAGTTTACTTCAATTCATTTATCATAATAGGCCTTAAAATGAAATTAATATATTTAATCTATTATGTTATTTTTCTTCCTATTTTTTTGCCTACACTTACACGGTGTTAGATCCATACTCATCATGAAATATTCCAGCCGATATTCCTACTATCACAATAGGTAAACCTGCATGTTAAAAAGGGTAATTTTATCAATGATTTATTATGTCGGTATGTTTTGTAAATTCAAAAATCACATCAAGCTAGGCTAAAAAAACTTCTTATATTTGTATTTAACATACCCCAGCCAAACGCTAGGTATTTTTTGAAATTCCTGTTTGCTTTAAACACTTGCACGAGCATAACGTACAGATGGAAGCCCTCAATCAACATCCAACAAAACATACTCAGAAGAAAGTAGTGCAGTAATATTGCCATGGACATACAGGCATACTGTAAGAAATATAAAGCTCATCAAAAAAGGTGATATATTCGAATTCATTTTTATACAGGTCCCAAATGGGTTAAAGATCTAGTATTAAAAGATTTTTTATTTTCTTTTTTAATTGCCTCGTACCTTATTCTCAGTGCGGTCTATCCCTACAAGGTATATTATTTGAACCATAATGATACTGATTGCAAGTTGTTCGTGAATCTTGATT